CCGTAGTCCAAGAGGGGTCTGCAGATCGCTTTGTATATTTTTGTCGCGGTATTGGTACTAATTCCTTTGTCTTTGTATGTTAGTGATCGAAAGTGTTTTGGTCTTTTTATCGTTTCTGTTCTGGTGTTTCGTGTGTGTTTAGTGAATTTGAGTTTGTGGTCGATTGTGATTCCAAGGTACCTTACGTCGTTTTTCGGTTGTGTCGTTTGGCCGTCTGCAGTTATTGTAGGGGAGTCAGCGTTGAGTCTGTGGTTCGTGAGCAGAAGTTGGTTTTTGTTGCGTTTGGCGTTAGTCTCCATTTATAAAACCATGTCATTGTGTTGTTTGTCAGTGTTTGGAGTCTTTCAGTCGCTTTTTCAGTAGTTTTGTCGTGTACAATAAGTGCCGTGTCGTCAGCGTATTGTAATATGTATGCCGTTCTGTCGATTTGATTTTTGTCTGGCAAGTTGTAATTGTATATGTCATGGCATACTGTAGAGAAAGGGTGAAAGGGGGGATCCTTGAGGGAGCCCTTATTCAGTGGAAAAAGAAAAGGAGAGTGTGTTGTCAATTCGTACTCGTAGTTGTCTGTTTTCTAATAAGTTCTTTATGGTGTGTAGTGGATATGGTGGTGTGTGGAGTTTGTATAGTTTGCATAGCAAGCCCCTATGCCAGACACTATCAAAAGCCTTGTTGATGTCCATGAGTAGACATTCCGACTTTCCGTCAGTTAGGTGAGTTTGTATGTTGTTGGTCAAAATAAATAGCAGATGAATAGTCGAGTGATATTGTTTGAAGCCAAATTGGTACGTTGGTATATGTTTTCGTATGTGTTGTTTGTTGTTTGTTATGAGTAATGTAATAGGTCTGTAGTTTTCCATTTGTGTACCGTCTCGTCCATTTTTAGATATAGGAATTATTATACCACGTTTCCATGTTTTCGGAATTTTGTTATTTCTGATGCAGTTGTTGATTTCAGTAAGGATGAGTTTGTGGGTTTCTTTTGGTTAAGCTTTTCAGGAGTTTTGCCTTTATTTTGTCTTTTCCCGGTGCTGTGTCTGTGATATGTGATAGGGCTTCATCGTACTCTGTGTCTGTGATTAGTTTGTCAGTATAGTTTGGTGAGTTGTTAAAGTAGTTCAAGTACCAGTCATTGATCATGTTCCAGTTGTCATTGTCGAAGTTACGATTTGTCGATATGCTGAAGGCCTTTTGATAGTGTCCGGCGAATGCGTCAGCCTTCTCTTTGTTTGTGTAACGTTCTGTTCTGTTTTCGTCAATTGTGTCAGTAGTGTTAGTTTTTTTGTATTGCGCTAGTTTCTTAATTTTTCGCCAGTATGTTTTGCCTTTGTTTTTTTGTATTTCCTTACATGTTTCTAGCCATTTGTCTTGTCGGTATTGTCCAATCAAAATTTTAATGCTTTTGTTCAGTTGGTTCAGTGTCTTTTTTAAGTCGTTATTTTGAGTGTATGTATATAGCCTGTACAGGTCTCTCTTATGCTTTATGAGTCTCAGTATGAATTTGGGTTGGATGTGTTGGTAGAAAACATTTTTTATTTCCGGGCAAAATTTTCCTATGGCTAAAGAAAGTTGTTCTTGTATGGTTTCTATTGAAATGGGCTGTGCTTGCGATTGAATGTAGTCGTGTATATGTTGTTTCACTTTGTCTATGTCAGTCTTTGCTAGGGTTTAACTTTTTCTCTATAGGAGGTGTACTGAAGGTAGGTTGCGTATGTTGTAAGTCTATGTTAAACGTAATAGCCAGGTGGTCGGATCCAAGTTCGTTGGTTAAGTTTATCTTGTTGATGGTGTTTGTTAAGTTTCTTGTGTTCAGTAGAACGTCCGGTGTTGAATCTGGATTTTCGGGCATCAGAAAAGTTGGTGGGGTGTGCTGTTTTATAAAGTCCGAATTTTGTAAAAATCTTTGAAGCTGTTTTGTTTTGTTTTTATTTATAGAATATTTATAGAGGCTTGCTTTGGTCAGTATGTTTTGTTCTAAGTTGGAGTGTGGGTGTATGTATGTCAGAAATATGTGTATCAGGTCATTTAGGTAGGGTATCGTAAAATGTATGCAGTCGTTCAAAGAGTGGTTGAGGGAAGGAGGATTTGCTCTTCCAAGTTTAAGTTTTGGTTTTAGGATCATCAAATATTAGACGACTAAAGCACAATTTCATCAAACCCATGGAAAATTACCTGGAAAGTCAAACAAGCGATTCGTTCGGCAAAGTTAGCAATTTGCGACAGATCGTGCAAGAATTGTTCGGGCTTATCCAGAGGAACATCCGGCCTGGTTTTCAAATGTTCGTTGATTAGGGCCAGTTCTTCGCTTGAGGCCCTCTAAAGTGGAAATATTGGGCAAATTAACTTTATTTGAGCAGCTTTATTTGAATTATTTGGCTCACATACCACCTCATAGATTTGCTGCAAAGCCTCCAAACAAACCACTGAGGTGTCGAAAGTGTAAATGGCGTTTTCGATTTCGTTAAAGTCCTGACGGAGACTGTGAGCCAGAATCCCTACACTTTGTGATCGTTTGCTATCCAACAGTTTCACTACCTCGACTTTCGGTTTCTGCTCCTGCTTCTTAATCGTCGGAGTTCTATTAACTACCTTCAAAAAATTACTCTTCAATATCAATGAATTCTTCGCATCAATAAAACCTCCTACTTGTCGGGAAAACAGTTTCATAAAATCTTCAGGAAGGGTTTCAATGGGTAGTTCGTCAATTTCGTCCCACAATGCCGAACTGTTCTCCAGTTTCTCGGTCTTCACCAGAATCCTGGTCCAGTAAAGTGGTTTCATCGGCACTGGCGGATTAATCGGTGCCTTCTTCGTGGCTACAATACAGAACACAAGAATATTCACCTCAAGCCACACCATCAAACCTTCAGTCATTAGTAGGGGTGCTTCAGCCTGCGAGCTTTTACTGCTGGGATTAGTAAATCGATACAAATTCACAAAGTGTTAGGAAACCACCACTAAATTTACACCGGTTTCAAATGAAGTTCACCACTGTTAAATTTGAGTTTTTTATACAGAGGACCTTGCTGGCGGTGTGTGGGCAATTTTCTTTTCTGGTGAAAGTAATTAAATAAAATACGTTTCTTCATCAAACTAAAGTTGCGCAGTTGCATAAAATAGTAAACTTTCAGCCTTTTTGCGTGAATTGAAATTAAATAATCAGAAAACTCCATGAAATGAAACAAACTCGAAATTTATCTGACAATGGACGATTCCATCGTTTTCATCAGTAGAAAAAGCCACAAGTTTCCTAATTGACCCCACAGTCAAACTACAATGCAAACTTCATTTGCAACATCCTGTATGCCATATTAATTGGTTTTTGAGTGTTTAGGTTTAAAAACCGTGACGATTAATAAAAGTAGAAATCATCGGCAAGCACCGACAGCATTTGAGGCCCTCCTCAAATTAATCCCAACCATCTCAAATATTCTCCTCAAATACTGCCGCTACGTCGCGAGATCATTGCAAGCCAATACCACCACAAAGCAGAGATTATCCATCAGCTTACCTAATTGGAAAGGAGCTATTTGGGGCCCTAAAGATAAAACGTGTCTTTAATACTCAACGTCCAGTTCACTTCAAGAGTCTTTTCCAGAAAGAAAACTTGAAGCTTTCTGCACTAACCTGCGCGTAACGGGTCAAACCCTCCGGCTGGTGGCACTGGCATTGATAAAGGCCCGCCCGGCGGAGGAGGCGGGGCCTTCGGGCCTCCTGCTGAGGCAGGCATTGGCGGAGGAGGCGGCATGCCCGGACAGGGCGGAGGTGCCGGTATCCTTGGGCCTGGAGGCGGCGGCGGTGGAGGTATTCCTGAGAACGGTGGAGGAGGCGGTGCAGGAATTCCTGAGAATGGAGGAGGAGGCGGTGGAGGAATTCCGGATAATGGGGGAGGAGGCGGTGGAGGAGGTGCTGGGACACCGCCAGGCAGCGGCGGAGGAGGAGGAGGCGGTAAATTGGGGGCCGCATTTCCAGCTGAAGATGGGGGCAGAGGCGGAGAAACGGGTATAACTAGGGAGGTTTGTAGAGCAGGCACTTCAGGGCTTGAAATCGACGACTCTAGTGAAGAACTCGTCTGGGACGACATCGCTTCCAGCTGCTGGAAATCCGTTTGAGTGCCAGCATCTATGAAACATTTCGTCTCTTGTGTGGCTAAAACCCCGAATTCCCTTGTAGCTGAGGCAGCTTGAGCGGTTGCATCTACAGTGGATCGCTCAGTATTAATCGCCACTTCTACAGTTCCAACTTTGAGGTTGCTGCCATTTAAGTGACTAGCCGGGTGACGTTCTTCCGTTGGGGATTCAAAGTCCTTCACAGCTGATGAGGTTAAATTTTGGATTTCAATCTACAACAATCAGCCCCAGTTTTATAGCAGGCAGTGGAGGTAGTCCAAACCACATAGTGACAAATAGGCAGTTCTACAAATAGACAGTACCAACGTTTTATATTTCTCCACTTCTTGGCGCAGACTCTTGATTTCCTCTTCCAAAGACAAAATTTCCACATCGCGTGCCGAGCTCCGCATTTCCTGGGGTCTGACCGCAATATCATTGCCTGTTTCAATTCCAGCTTCATTAACTCCCCTAATGCTAAGCTGGGAAAACTGATACCTGGATGTTCTGGAATATCATTCGGAGAGGAAGGGACTTCGCATGGCGAAGCTGGCGGCCAATAGATCGCGCTCAATCTACCGGGTGTTTGAGGTTGAGAATGAGGCACTTCCGCATGGCTCCAGTAATAAATGCAGTCGGGCTGGATGAATCGAAATTTCCCAAAAAACCTTTTAAAATCCCACTAAAACCTACCCGGAAAATTGTCGTTGGCGGCACTCCAGGATCGGGCAGCTGCCTCAGCACTCCAGCAGCTAATAAATGAGTGCAAAACTGTGAGGCAAGCAATTTCAGCTCAGCTACACCAAGTTGAGACTTTGCGGGGCTGTCGGAACTTAGCTCTGATAAGTACCAGTTTACCAGCATGTATCCTGTAAAAAATCAAGAGTTATGGAATTTATTCAATGGGTATATAGCGGGTGTTTTGTTCAAACCGAGCCATAGATGATTGCTTTATTTTTCTTTAATATGTCGTTTTAAATACGATTCGCATATCTCTGACAGCGTCTTCTTCAAAGTGCATAGAAAATGTTAACGGATTCTAATTTTTCGCCCCTTAAAACTCGATGCGAGATTTCGTTCAGGTTTTTGGCTTACAAACAAGACAATTTAATTTTTATAATTTTCAATTTTAACTTTGACGCCTTGGATTTTGAAAACCGTCCACTTTTACATTAGATAAATTAAATTAAATCGTCATGTTTTCACCCCAGGAATCTGTGATAGGATTGTGAACAGACATTTTACAGACACCCTGTATAATTGGAAAATTTTCGGTTTGACCTAAACGACCGAAACATTGACCAGGCTCATTTTGTAGATTCGATGACAAAATCGACATATTTGATTTATTTTATGGCACTTTTTGGATTATCTAAAGAATGCTTGAAACTGGTGGGTTTTTCGGGCTTTTAGTCCATCGTCAAAAAATATCTTCGTCACGTTTCGCAAGCACGAGTGGCTTGCATCTTCAGATAGATAATTTAACAAAAATTATTTATGATCGTTGCAAGTTTTCAACAGCTTATGTTACTAAAAGCTTGGTAAGGCAAGCTTTTAGACTGTTAAGACAGTCGAACAAAAACACGCTTGAAGAAAACTGTATCCAATTAATAATTTTGTGGAAAATCTCTGAGTTGCGTTTTTTTGTAAAACAGGGAAAAACGCTCAACAGTAAATGGAGAATCAATAGTAAAGTTAGGAACAGTCAACTTCACAAAAAAGTCTATTTCCTATTAACAGAAGAGTTCAGTTTTCGCAGCAGTTGGGCAGTAAAAAATGTTGAGTTTTTCAGCTCCCACCGACAGGTTTTTAGTAAACGATCTATGAAGATGCCAGATACTCGTGCTGACAAAACGTCAGGAAAAAAATGTTTTTATTAGTCTCTCAAACTGAAAAACTAAATAGTTTGACGCAATAACCACAAAAGTGTGATATTTTTAACGACTTAAATGTATTCAAAGTGTCTCTTAATTTTTGCGTTTGCTGGATATTAGAAAACAAACAAGGAAATAAAATCATGATTGCCAAAAGGTATAAAACTGTCGATTTTAGATGATAGAAAGATTGTCTGGAATGTTCACGGAAGTCAAACAACTGGAACAGACTCAGAGACTGTTGGATCGCGTCTCAAGAATCGTGAGTGTTAAATTATCTATAAAATTAAACCAACGACAAGATATTTTCTTTTTTTAAAGTTTGTTATGTTTTAAAATAGATTGATTTCATTTTCTGAAACTGGAAGCTGATTATTTGCCGCTACGATCAAACAAAAAACGTCAAAGAACCGCTAAGAAAAGGTAAATAAATAAATCCCAGAAGTAACAAAAAAAAATCCGTTAGCACCATTTATGAAGCAAAATAAAGGCTATTGAAGGTTTGAAGATGCTCAGCGCGATTTTACCTTCTCTGGATCCTTTTGGTCAAACATTTAGGGACTACTATCCACTTTATCCCGGGCCCAAAAGACCAATGAAATCGTTCAACATTCTTCGCAAACTCATGAAAATTGTCCTCAAAGTTACAAATATTAATGCAGACTAAACCGAGCAGACGCTTTAGTTTCAGATCTTTTTGGGCACAGTAATATTAAGAGCTTTTTCCCCCTAATTAATTGCTTACCACGAAGAAAAGTGTAAAATCCCAACTAAAACCGTGAACGGAAAAACTCACCACACCGTGCACCAGTCAGAACCTCTTGATTGAAACCAAGTAGAAAAACTGAAACAGCCTTGATACGTGATTCATATCGTCATAATTGCGATTTTAACTATTAATTGCAACCGTAATTGGTGAGTTTTTCGTCTAAAACCAGAGCGATTGCGTAAAAAGTGAAATTTCTCTTGCATCTTGGCCAAATTACAATTTTTTCTTGCAACAGTCGTAATTAAGCAAAGTGGGGAAATTGATGTGCGTCGAATTAAAGAGCCAGATTTGCAATTAACCATTGCGTGTCGATTCTCTTTAAGATAACCCAATATAGTTGCGTGGTAGATTTTTCGAATTTATTAGCAAAAATTGAATTTATATCAAAATTTTATTGTTACTTTACCTACGTAAAACATTGTCGATATCAAAAGATTAGGTTATCGAGGATTTTCCAAGCAGTAAGCGGAAATGTATTGTCAGCAAAGGTAGAATGTAGGCAATTTATCTATTAACAGTTATTTTGCTTCTCAAAGTCGCTTAATTGCGATTTTCTGCAGAAATTCTCACCCGATTAGTTCTCATCTACGGTTAATTGCGATCTAATAAACAATTATTTCCCAAGGATTCTTAACACGGGATTCATTAGTTTTTAGGTAAAACATACCGCTATTCAGGGTGTTCGGTGGTTCGATGGCCATAGTTAAGGAGCGTATTTCTTGGTCAACTTTGACTCGAAAATACACCTTTTGCCAGGAACAATATTAGTTACTAAGTACACTCTCGCTCTTGACAGACAAATACGAATCAATTTATAATTTTTAAATTATCAATTCAAAGTCTAACATAGAAAAAACCAATTGAGTTTAATGCAAATCTGTGGTGATTTTGAGCAAGAAATGTCTAAATAGAGAAAAATACAGTTGAATGAAAGAAACAAAGCCTTGCTAAGAAAATAAAGAAGCCTTTTTGTGATTAGAAAAACGGCAATTTGTTCAATGCATCAGATAATCCGAGAATTGTTCAAATCGTTCAATCAAAATCATAAGGCTAACGTGCACAACACACACTTACGAGGGTAAAAGTTACCAAAACTGTTGCGTTTCCAAGATAAAATCGAAGAAGATTAACGAAAATCCGACAACACAAACTGACGAACTGAACAAATATCGACGTTTGTGCTTAACAATTAATTATACTTTAAAAAGTCAGGAAAGATCAACAAAAATAAAAATAGAGTGAGGAAAAAACCAATAAAAATCCCATGCAAATCGGTTCTGATGGAAACGCCTGGATGTAGCAAGAAACGTCTTCTAAATGGGGAAAATACAGTTGAATATGGAAAAACGTTCAAATTGTTCCTAGAAAGCCTAAAAAGGAAATCATAAATACGTAGTCTAGATTATTGATTGAAAACAAATTGAACCAAAGGAAAGATCAACAAAAAATAAAATCGAATGAGGAAGAATCGAATGAGAAAACAAAAAAACACCCATTCAAATTGTTGCAAATTGGTTCTGATTTTGGAAACGCGTGGACGCATTACGAAACGTCTTCTAAATGGGAAAAATACAGTTAAATATGAAAAAACGTTCATATTGTGCGTACAAAGGCTAAATAAGAAATCATAAATACGTAAAAAAAATAAGCACACTACTGAATGCAGCAGCTCAAAACACATTTAAGAAAATGTAATGATTATGGTCGTTACAGGCCAATTAATTGGCATTTTTCACTCATTTTTTGAGTTTTTCGATTATTTGTGCTCGTAACAATTTTTTGACCATATTTCCAAAAAAAAACTGATGTTACCATTCGATTCATCAGCTCAAAATACGTAAGAAACAAAATTTTAATAATGAAAATCTGCTGTTTTTAGCAGAATAAACAATTTAACAGGTTTTTTCCGTGATTGGTAAAGTCCAACTGCTTTTTGAGTTTTTATTGTCGATAAAGAGATTTTCACCTGAAGGAAAAATTCCACTAAAGGTCCGTCATAATTAAACATTTAATCTTCATAATATGTTTAGGCTTTTTTCACTCACTTCTCTTTTGAAAGCCTTCCACTTTTGCCGTTCGTAGGAAACGCATTGAACAACATTATTCCAAATATACTGAATATTATCAGCTTTAACTTAATTCAAATTTGTAATACAGAAGCCCACAATCAGATTAATAAATCAGTTGACGTCATTTATGGCATAATTATGGAACATTTCCAAAGGAAGAAACCCGCAACTTTATGCAATTGAATTGACAAATTTTCCGCATACACTGGGGAGTCACAAGTGAATATAAATATGTTGGGAGCTTATGGGTAATAATTCATATAAAAATGTTCCGATAAACTGAACTGTTTGTAATTGATCGCAATTGCCGCAATTAAAGGTAATATTAAGGTAATTTTGAAAGTACCTTTTTTAACATCAATCAAAATGCAGAAAGCTCGACTGTGCACCTGTGCTTTGATTGCAGATTTTTTGCGTTTGTAAGTCGAAAAACCGGCCATCATTATAACGATCACATGCATATAACCGCAACATCACATAAATAGCACTGTTTTTCAAATTAGTCTACTCAATTAAAGCAAGTCCGCTTCGCTTTTCATCTTGGTTCCCATTGACTAGACACACACACACACACACACTCACGAAATCGAAACCCAATGTCAACTACCTGCAAAATTATTCTCCGACTATCAGCTTGCAATAAATGAATGCGAAACATTTGTTCAAAAAATCTCAAACTGATACCAGTTTGAAAATAGACTGGCAAACACCCAGTAATGCCCCTTAATCCGTGAGGACTTTATCTAAGATTTGATCCACTTTAAACACGTTTGTTTCCAAAACAATTACTTCGCGTTCAACCGGTAAGTGAGAGTAAGAGTTTTCGTTAAATGTTGACAAAATTGACAAAACCCATCCGCGCATTGAGTAATTAACGGCCCCATTAATATTCATAGCGGATATTCACCGGATGAGCCCAATGATCATGAGTCACAACAACAAAAGAAGTCGAGGATAATGGTTCAAGGATTGTCGCAGTACCAAATGAGAACAAAGCAAAGTAGGTGAGTGTAAAGAAAAACGGAAATCACCGGACCCACATGGCAATTTCTTCTGAAACTAAAAACTGAAAAGTTTCTCAAAAACTTACCCTCAAACTTTTCATATAGTTGAAAATTCAATTTTTCTGGAACGAATTTTGGCCGCTGCAATCGCGCTTCCAGCTCGGCCCGGCTCAAAGAAGTGGCTTTCTGCAGATTGGCGCCATCGGACATCACATTCACATCCAAAGGTACCGACATGTGTCTTTTGTAAACTGGCTGGCAGCCTATTTACCGAAAAAAGCGGAAAATTTATCGAATTGCTCACCAAATGCGGGCAAGTCCTACTAAAATAACAATTATTTGCGTGCTACGCCCTCATATCGAGTTCTCAGATGATTTTTAAACACGCCATTTATTCACCTCCATTAATTTGGCTCTTATCGGCTCGGTTTGAGTCTGGAAGTTCTTCGGCGCTTGGACAGAGAGTTTGCTTAAGTTCGTCGTTCAATTCCAGAACGCCTGTTGAAAATCCACTACCATCTCCTTCCAGGCTGATCTGCGATGTCTTGCTTACGCCCAGTTTGCTCAACTTGGTCACTTTTTCCTGAAAAACTCAAAACTGTAACTTGCACCAAATTCCCCATCTTGCGAGTCACACCTGGTCAACTCGCGCTCTAAACTCATTGAGCTTGAAAATATTCAACGGCTGAAACACCTCATTAAGCGAGTGAAACTCCTCATGCCCGCCTTCTTCCAAGGAGCTGAGAAAGTCACCGGATTGTTCCAACAGGGGAGGCATATCGGGGGCTAAAGCTGCAGACTCCGGGTTTAATCCTGCAGGGCTCAGCGCCAAGGTGAAGTTGGAATCAGAGCTATGATCCCACACAACAATAAAGCAAAGCTGGAAAAAATCCAACTCCCTTTTCCTACCTGGAAACGTTTTTGAACGGGTCTTCATCCTCGCAGATTTGCGGCGTTTGCACAGCGGAAATTGCAGTTTTATCCTCCTCATCAGTGTCAGGAACCACTTTCGTCCACTCGTCTGTTTTAGCAGCCTTTTTGCCACCCAACAACCGCATCTTTTGCCGTCCAGTCGCTTTCTGGGCGCTTTTTGAAGCGCCCTTGCCTCCATCCGATGTTTGGAGGTTACCCATTTAGCGAGGACTTTTACGCTTGGATGACATAATTTTCTGCAAGTAACAATGGTGCAACAGAGAAAAAAATGTCTATAAGTTTTATATTGTTGAGGCGGATTCATTTTTTACAAACTTCTTTTTGGGTATTTCGCCTCAAAAATTTTTGTCTTTAAAAAAGACAGAATTT